AATAATAAAGAAAATAAACATGCAATAAGTTATCTTATGTCTTGTTTGGTTCTCATTATTTTCAAAAATATTTTTCTTTTTCTTATTTTCAACCATATTTTTCAATAAAATAATATTACACCCAAACTAAAAACTTTTCCTTATTTTTAACCACACATTCTACATCAAGGATGTGTTTGAGCCACATTATTTTGGAAGAATGAATTTTGGAATAGTAGATTGATGGAGAATATGTGGTTGAAGAAGAAGGAAAAGTTATTGATGTGATGGAAAATATTATTTTGTTAAAGAATGTGTGGTTGAAAATGAGTAGAAGAATGAGAATGAAAAAAATAATGTGGCCCAAACAGAAGCCAAATCACTATTCTAAAATGCATTTTTTGCAAAAGAAATTGGGCTCAAACATGCTAGTAGTGTTATAAGTGTATGGTGAGTAGTTCATTAGTCCCTGAGGCACCCTTTCTGTCAAGTAAGTAAAGTCAATATCGGACTGTCACATTTTAAAGTCACGTTTGCCAAACCACAAAATGTGAGTATTGCTAGCATGCAAACCATTTTACACATAGAACTAACCCTTTTAATTTTCATGAAGATCCCTTACTCGATTTAGTTCAATGTCATTATTATTTCTATTCCTATATACATACAAGTTTGTACATTCTCATCCAATTTATTGTTCGGAAAATTCATTCTAATCCTATTATATCAGTATCGAATGGGATGTAAAGAACCTATGCCACTCTCTTATAAGCTATAATGGTTCTCATAATGAGAATCACAATCTCCTTTAAAGTTTCTTTATCTCCTATAATGGAATTATATAAAATTAACAAAAATAAATCATACATGGACAATAGTCATAGTCGACGGCTCACCATGGGATTCCTCGTATAAGATCATTGGAAAAGAGTACAATGGTTGTTACGAACACTTTACTGCATATCTCTCTTCAACCCTTAGAATGAAATGCTTGTGAACCTTCATTTAATGTTTTAAATCAATGTTTGTGTTGGACGTTTGAATCAAATTATATATTATTTGGAAGTAACTGTTTTAATACTTAATTTATTTAAAAAAAGGTCAAAAGACAAGAACAGTTTTCAAGATCCATAGCTTCTTTTTAACCATTTTTTCTTCTAACAGTAGCAAATTTCCTAAAAGTTGTGTCTGTTCAGACAGTTAAATTTGTATCTATATATGGACAGAGTATTCCAAGTTTCATATGCATTATTAATATTGCACTACATATAAAAGGAAAAATACAAGTGCAAGTTGGGTTGAATTCTAGTGCTAGAATTCTAACAACCTATAGTTTTATCCAAGTCTCTATCTAATCCAAGTCAGTATTTTTTATACATTTAGTTTTTTATAGTTATCATTCTATATTTCTTGTTTATTGTATATAAAATTATTAATTGTGTGTGAAATTCGAACAGTGAAGTTGAATCCATTTTATCAGACGTGGGAATCGATAGATTTAGCATCAGGTAATAAGCCAATAGGTTACAAATGGATTTTTAAATAAAAGCTTGGTTCTATAAACAAATATAAAGCATGGTTGGTAGCTGAAAGGTACACATGGTGATGGTTATTGCTATAGCTTCTTTATATAAGATGGATATATATAAAATGGATGTATAAACAACATTTTTAAATGGGTAATTAGATGAAGAAATATATATAGAGCAACTTAAGGAGGTGTTTGGCTTGCTTTTTTTCAAGGCGTATTCAGTTTTTAGTTTTGTAAAATATTCAATTTTTGAAAACAAGGTTAAATTAATAACATAAAACTTAAAATGTATTTTTGACGTTTTGAGTGTTTTTAGTGAAAACATTCAAAACATGGGAAATAAACGTTTAAATTAAATTTTATTTAAACAAAATTCTAAATATATGAAATTAAAAAAAAAATACAAAAAAATAAAATTCTATAAAAAAAATAAAAATAGTTCAAGCTCTTATTAGTTATTTTACTGAATAATCAGTGTTTATGAAATAAAATGTCATAAAATAATGTTTTAAAATTCCAAACCAAACTTGTTTTTCAGTTTTCAGTTTCAAGAAATAGTTTTTCAGAATGATAAACCCGATGAGTTTTTAGCAATTATAAAACAAATTCTCAAAATAGAAAACTGAAAATGAAACCAAATGGGTCCTAAATGTTTCATAGTTGAAGGTTGTGAAAATAAAGTGTATAAACTGACTAAATTTTTATATAAACTTGAACAAGTACCAAAACAGTGGTATGGAAACTTTGACCAACAATATTATCACATGGGGTTAAGATCAATGAATGTCATGTGTGTGTACCTGAAGGCATAAGAATTCTTGTGTTTTTGTCTTCATATTAATGCCATACTTATAATGGAGACTAGTAAGATACAATTATGTCTACGATGAAAGACTAATATTATTTTGGGCATTCAAATTAAAAGAAATAATGTATATAACATTAGAATTCTAACAATACATAGTTTTATCCTAGGACGTAGACACAGAAACCTACACTCTTCAAGCGTCGAGAAGTGCGAAATATTATCTTTAGGACATTGCTCTTTGCAAGTCTCTGTTTAATTCAAGTCAATATTTTTTATACATTTAGCTTTATATATAATTATATAGTCTCTTATTTATTTTATATTATTATGAATTTTTAAAAAAATTCCAATAGTGTACGTGTTCTTAAATTCATATTTTTAATGGATGTAATTTTATCTAAAATTTTATAGGGCTAAAAAAAGTATGAGCTAAATAGACATGAAGTATATGAAGTGGTTTCCTAATATACTTCAAAATTGTGGCTTGTGATGACTAACATTGGGTAGATCAATACCAAAAAAATTGTCTTTAGCCACCAATAATAATGATTTTTAAACAATCTTTAAGCAACGCTTTTGAATGGATTTGATCCCCAATGATTCGCAAGAAAGAAGAACCATAGCTCTCAAAATAAAGTCTACTCTTGTCTCTGGTTGTCATCGTCGTCGTCGCTCTATGTTGTATTATAGTTTCTTTTTAATCGAGATGTTGTATTCCTATTGAAAATGAGATTTATCATCAAACTTTTTGATATAATTGATTTGGATGTGGCCAAATTAGATAATGAAAATCAAAAGCACCATTAGTGAAACTTTGGATGGATCAGTTTGGTTTCAAATTTTTGTGGTCCATTTAGATTGCAACTACCAAAATCGATTAACTTATTTGTCACACAATACAAAAAATAAAACATAAATTTTCCGTATGAGCTTTGAAAACAATATGTTCTTATTTGGCTATCGTTTATAAATTATTTATAATCGGTCGAACAACTTTTTTATCCAAACATTTCGTGACCAAAGACCAATTAGTGGTCGCTCGTTGTAACCGGTAAAAAAATCTTCAAGA